TATGAAAGAAGGGGTGTTAGTATGATGGGGAAAGGATAGGAGCTCCACAAGGACCAAATATATCTGGGCACAGGGTCTTCTCAGAGACTGTCATTCAACCAAGGACCATGTATGGATATAACTTAGAACCTCTACTCAGATGTAGCCTGTGGTAGCTCATTAACCAATTGATTTCCATAGTGAGGGGAACAAGGACTATTTCTAACAGGAACTCAATGACTGGCTCTTTGACCTCCCCACCCCTCAAGGGAGGAGCAGTCCTGTTAGGCCACAAAGGAGGACTTTGCAGCCAGTCCTGAAGATACCTGATAAAGCAGGATCAGATGAATGGGGAGGAGGTCCCCCCCCTATCAGTGGACTTGGAAAGGGGCATGGTGGAGATGAGGGAGGGAGGGTGGGATTGGGAGGGAATGAGAGAGCAGGATACAGCTGGGATACAGAGTTAATAAAATGTAACTGATAAGAAAAAAATAAAATTAAAAAAAAAAAAAAGAAATGAACAGAGCACCCTCTGTGTTAGGTGAAATGTGGTGCTTACATAATAATGAAAAAATAAAACCCCCTAATTTCAAGGGGCGGTGGCGATCTGTTGTTACAATGGGGAGGACACTTGGCAGCATTCTGCAGAGCTCCTACATCTGCAGCACAGGCTCCTAAGTGACCATCAAGTGTGTAAGTCCTGTCCCCTGTGGTTCAAAGGTGGTAATCCTGCCTCACTTAGTAGAAAGATCACCCTGGCAGAAGAATCCTACGCCAAACACAAAAATTTAATAACTTACTCTGTCAAATGAAATGTAAGCTACTTTATTCTCATTTATTTTGGCAAGTGTTGCATTTGGACCTTTTCAGCCTCCTAGCAGATATGTGTGGAATTTTGTCAAATACTGTAGATACTTAGGAAAGGTATTATATACAAGGGGAAAGGTAAGACTGGATTCAATGAAGGTATAAATCTTTGAGATACCTCAAAATCAACACTCACTTCCTCTAATTTCCCTTTGCTTAAAAGGTGCAGCTGGTAACCCAAGAATCTTCTGAAATATCTCAAGTTCCAACCCAACTTAAACGTTCTCATGGACTGCAGCCAGTGTCAGTTTGTAATCAGACGTCTGGGCAGCCTGCTTCTAAGGATAATCCCTTCAAATAACGACACTGGTTATATTTATACTTGTGTCATCCTACTGTTGACTTCTCTGTCCTTTTTAATCCTCAATGCTTCACTTCACTCTTTTTGTTCCCTAAGTTGTCATCATTGTTTTAGAGAAAAAAGATAGATCACTGACACAGATGGTTTGCTTAGTTTCAAAATAAAACATGATGAAATCAGTGTTTTCTCAATTGTTTCAGTAATAACAGTAGCTATACGATCCCCAGGAGCTAAGAGTCAAAAGTCCTCAGCCTGCTGCCTGCACTCTCACTTGCTTGCCTTTTTCTCATAGTGATGCTTTACAAGGCAGTAATCAGTGCAGATGAGAAGGAATGTAAAATACTAGGAGGTGGAAAACCCATTGATTGACAAAGCAGGGTGTTGCTCAAAGCTACTGAAAAAGGACCTAGTTACCAAGACTGAAAAGGGATACCTTCCTGTTAAAGAGCAGAGAAAAGGTACATGCTACTCACCTTGTCCCACATTTCCTAAGGACCCACTAAGTACTCTCTACTCCTCAGGAGGCAACAGACAATGGCTAACCAGAGACTTGCCTTTTCTATACACAGATGTTAGCTCTTGAAAACAAGTTTGAATGCAACTCAGTTGGCTCAAGAGTTCACCCTATTCCATTTGGGTTTTTAGCCATCCACATTGGTCCAACTCCCACCTTCTAATTGGTTAATACATGCATGAGGTGCTACTCTTCATAGCTAAATGCTAGCTAGCAATTGTTCAGAATACAAAGATCACCCAGCTCTGGTCATAGGGGTCCTGTCTCAGATCCTGAGATAGCTCAGGCAAAAGAGCACTGAGCCATGTGCTTGCCTAGATTCTGACTGACACAGCAGGGGCAAGTTTATAGAAGAATTCAGTCCACTGTTTTCAGATCTTCTGAAAAATCTATCTAAATGTTAAATTCAAATTACTTCTAATATTTTGTGAATTATTGATAGTTATTCTTTGTCTTCTTAGTAGGAATTACAGAGTCCTCAAAGATACTTTTCAAATACCTGACCACTATCTCGAATATCTAATACACATTGCACACAAAGCATCAGAGAGGAAGCCAGTATAACCAGAGCCCTCAATGGCTCACTTGCATTGGTAGAGAGGGCAGGCAAATCTGTGAATATAAGTAGAGACTGACATAAACCTGAAAATGGCTATTTCATCACTACAGGGAACTGAGCCATGATAATAAATTACTCAGTGTCTCAGACTGCTAAAAATCCGGGCTTTCAATAGGTTTCTGTGTTCCCTACTGACATTATTCTGATGACAACACATTGTTACTGCAAGGGAAAAAAAAGCACAAGCAAACCCAAAGACAAGTGTGTGTGTGTGTATGTATATGTATGTGTGTGTATACACACACACACACACACACACACACACACAAACACACACACATGCATGCTGGTGATTATAAACTTTTAGGTTTACAATCAAAGAACCAAAAATCCTCCTGATATGAAAAGGGCTGGTACATCAGGCATGCTTTGACCACTAGAGACCTGCGTTTTACACTCTTGTATCTATAAGAAACTATCCCCCAACCCCCAGCTCCGTGTATTCTCAGTCTACTCTCCTTGTCATTATGATCTGTTGCCGAGTTGCCAGCCATGCCTGTTTCTAGGGCTATTCACTCAACAGCAGGAATTTTCAAAGGACGCAGTGCACCAGGATTTAAGTGACAAAGTTTATCAAGAACTCTGGATTTGAGCCAGGCTACATGCACATACCTATAATCCCAGCAGTCAGGAGGCAGAGGTGGGTGGACCTGTAAGCGTTCAAGGCTACCCTCGTCTATATAAGAGATTCCACCCTAGGCAAGGATATGTAGTGGGATTTTGATTCAAAAACAAAACCCCAAACTCCTCTGGGTTCGTGAGCTTGGGGTGAGAGGGAGGGAGGAGGGGGGATGCTGATGTAATACACACGTTTAAAGTTCCAAAAAAATGAAAATTAAAGACTAATAAAGGCATACTTCCATACTTAAAAAAAAACAACACAAAAGAACTATGGGCTTCATACATTTATAAGACTGAAGCCATCGTTTTTTCAGTGAGATGAGACTGCCATAGACTCCGAGCCACTTGTCAGCCACTCTTCATCACCCTATAAAAACTCACCAGAAAAATGGCTCTCAGTGAACAGACGTAGGTAGCACAGTCCAAATGGGGAAAGTCAACCATGAATTATATATTTTATGTTTAACTCTTGTTTAGAAAAAATGAACCAAGAGGACACAAAAATGCTTTTAAAACTTCCCCGTGATGCATGGGTTTTATTTTTAGCTGGTGCTAAGCTAAGCTGTGCGGAGATCTTCTCATGCTTTACCACACGTCATCTTTACATTAGCTCAGCTGATGGTAGACCCTTCACACTGCCACGTGGGACCTCAGGAAGCTGAGCAGTTTGCCAGGGTCCACTCCCGTGGGAGAGCTGCTGCTAGACCTTCTGCCACTCAATTCCAGATCCATGCCTTCAACTAGAGATCCATTTGTACCTGTGCTTAAAAAAAATCTGAGCCAGTGAGTAGGCTCAGGAGGTACAAGTGCTTGCTGAGTAGGTCTGATGATCAGAGTCTGATCCCTGGCAAGTGTGCAAAACAGTGATGCAGAAACAGTGTGCATCTGTAAACCTAGCACTCCTACACTGACGTGGAGGTAGAGAGTTACTCAGAAGCTGGCAGGCAGCCTGGAGTCTGAAGAGAGAGCCTGCCTCAAAAGGCAGGTAAAAGGAGAGAAAGCTGTCTTCAGACTTCCAAACATGATTGAGACACAGGCATGCACACAATAATAACAAATAAAACAGAATTTTAACAGGTTTGAGAAGCTAGACATTAACTAATCTATATTATTATATAAGTATAAAACAAGAAACACACAGAAGAGGGCCAAGCGTCTGGTTGCCCTTAAGACCAACTTAAAAAAACAAACAAACAAAGCGCTACTCACTTTGGGTCTGGTAATTAAATTGAGGAAAACTATCAGAATGTTCTAAATATTGAGTGTCCATCCATCCCTTACACAAGCATACACAGATAATATCTCTACAATGTAGAAGTAATGTGCTAGAAACCCAGGACAGAAACGGACAAGAGACACATGGTTCTTATTCCTGTGGAACATACAAGTTCAGAGGACGGTTACTATAAGGGAACTACAGCTCCTCAAAACTAGTTTGAAAAGAAGGGCTGGTAGAGAAGAGATGAAAGGGAACCTAGCTCACCCAGGGACAAGGCAAAGTCTCCCTCCTAGGCGCTGGGGAGGGAAACTCCAGATGGAGGGATAGGCATGCACCACACATCAAAGAGACAAGAACCTATAAGGAAGGTGAGGGTGGTTCAAAACAGCACAGCCAAAGAAAGACACAGCAACCTGGGCTGGAGAGGTGGGCACAGGTGGCAACCCGCAATACTGTGTGGCATACTGAAGATGTGGGCTGTATCTGGGAGCCATGAAGGGCTGGCTACAGCAAAAAGATGCAGAAACACTTGAGCTGTACACCGAGCTGGCTGAGTGGATCTCAGCATGCTCAGGAAGTGCGACTACAGTCTGAAATCTTTTCTGCACTCCAGGTGACAGGTGATAAAAAACAGGACAAGGGCAGCAGAGCTGGGAAGGTACAGACACTCTTGAGGCAACTGGTCAGCATTATGGGAGATGAGTGAAGGTGTTTAACCTTGGGGTAATTCTAAGGCTTAGGTGGTATACATTCCTTTTTCAACAGCAAAGAGTTTCATGTTGTAAACTTAAATATTTCATTTTATTAGGGGGAAGAAGAATTATTTCCAAATTCTGCCTCCGAAGCATTTGCACTCACTTGGCCCCCAGCCATACCTCACCTGGTTACCGACCAAGAGCAAGTGCTCTCCAAGGACAAAGTCTTTGAGCATGTCTTCCATCACGATCATGTGCTAGAGCAAAAAAGGATAATCAAAATAAAATAGGAGAGGTTACAAGTGTTATCTAGGAACACAGAACATACATTATCATAAAATAAGTAAGCGATTTCAATTACAATAGATTTCATTATTGCTCTTGCTGTTTGATACAGGGTATCACTATGCAGCTCTGCCTATCCAGAGCAGTCTATGTAGACCCATACAGGTGCAAACACAGAGGTCCACCTACCTCTGCCTGTCTAGTACTGGGATTAAAGGTATGCACCACCACACCTGATTATAACTAAGAATGTGTTTAATGAGGTGGATATAAGTAAGTTCAGTAATCAGTTAAGCCACCAATACTGAAAACTTCAAGCAGTATTTCAAAGAATTTTTGTAATTCAACTCAAATATTTGTATTTAAACTCTGTAGACTTGACTTATAATTTAATGTACTATTTAAATTGATGCTTGTAATCCTAAGTAAACAAATGCTATCAAAAACAACCAAATAACTCCACTTTTGATTTAAAAAAAAAGTGTGTGTGTGTGTGTGTATAATAATAAGATAAAATGAAAACTAACACATCTTAATTGGACAAAACTAAGAAAAGGAAATGATCCCAAGAGAAGGCACAAGAAACAGAGACCCACTCATTTGCACAGTTAGCTCAACCATTTACCTCCAAACTACATAGTCTTAGAATCAATGGGCATTTTCTACCTTCTATTACTGGTCATTTGGATTATGATACAATACAATGAAAGAGCAGAATTGCCACTGCTCACAGCAGCCACAGAGGGGCTGCACTGTTCTTTGTGTACTGAGAAATAGGACACCCGTAAGGAGGTTACAAAGGCTCATGGGACTGAAGGAAGAGCTGTGTGTGTCCTAGCACAGTCTGAACAAAAAGTCCATCTTCTTGGTTTCTGGATCAAGTCAACAACCAAAAGTGCTCAGGTTACTCAAATTCTCTATTTTTTAAAAAAGCACATTAATATTTTATAACACAGACATGCTACAGATATTTTCCAGAATTTTACTTGTTGCTTTTCTTGAACTGACTTTTTAACTCTCAAAATTTGTCAAATTCTGCAATATTTTCCTTCATTTTTTTCTTTTAGAAATAAAAACTAAGAAAGTTATTTTTTCCCTTCCTTCAAGAATAGTAAGTATATTGGTAGTTCTCAGTTTTCTTAATTGGAGACACCGGGGACTAAAGTTTTAATAAAGCTTAAAGTGAGTATTTATTTACTGTCTTTCTGAAACACTAAAAAATAAAATAGTTATTGTCTTAACAGCATAAACAAGGGATATCCTAAAAGCAAACAGATATGACTACCCTCTACAACAGTGGTTCTCAACCTGCGGTCGTGATTTCTTTGGGGGTTGAACTACTTTCACAGGGGTCACCAAAACCATTGGAAAGCACAGCTATTTATAGTACAGTTTATAACAGTAGTAAAATTATAGTTATAAAGTAGCAATGAAAATAATGTTATGGTTGGGGGTCACCACAGCATGAGGAACTACATTACAGGGCCGCGGCATTAGGAAGGTTGACAACCACTGCTCTAGAAGGAAGACCTAGGACATCACTTACACTGGGTCATGATGCTAAGATAGTCTGGAGCCTGCTTCCTTTTAACTACGTGAAAACTCAGTGGTAAATTCAAGACACTAGTACTTCCTGAAACAAATGCGCAAATCAGCTCCAGGAATGGACTGAAGTGTCCCCAGAAGGGCACGCACAGCTGACACTGAAGACCATGGGCTCTGTCTCCATTCTGTTTCCTTACTGCTCTCACATCCTTCTGCTGTACCTTCATCGCATCTGCCTGCCTAACTCGAGCCAACAAGCATCAGCCAAAGCTAAGGTCACGGCCGATAAAGAGTCTCTTGGTCTTTGTAGCACCGCAGACAGGTTCTTCCTTCTACCCTTTCTCCTGCTCTTTCTCCCTGTCTTCCTAGCTTTCTTTTGCATGCCCAGGGTATGGGTTAGTGCCTGCATAGACACAAGACGCTGCCTGACAGTCAGGTAAGGGATGTGAGCAAAGGTGCAAGCTGGGCCTCCAAAAGCTCAGGGCCTCCCCCTCTCTGAGCAAACCTTCCAAACTGAAGACAGGCTTTATTTTGTGAGCTCTTATGTTCTTGTGTAGATAAAATAATTTTCAAGGCTGGTGAGACAGCTCAGCACGTAAAAGCTCCTATAAGCCTGAGGACCCGAGTTCAGTCCCCAGGACACAGTAGAAGGACATAGCTGACTCCCACAGGCTGCCCTCTTTCTTCTACATGCGAATAGTAGGTGTGTGACCACATACATACACAAGCTCACAAAATGTAAAAACAAAATGAAACACGATTTTTTTTCAGCTGTAGGTGATTATGAGACGAAACAGGTAGTATACAAGCTTTCTCTGTGAGGACTGTCATTCCCCAGTTTTCTAAACACAACCAAAACTTGGCCCTTGCTTCCTCAACTTCACTTTCTTCTTCCTCCTATACCCTGCAGCCCATTAATAAGGATCCTTTTCTTTCTCTTGATCAAACTGTGACATCCATGGCCACTCTGCCCATCTTGTTTCTCTCTTACTGGGATCTTGTCTTAGCGACTAAGACACACACAGTGCATTCTTTCTTTTCTATTGCCACAGCTGGGATTCAGGGTGTTTGCAATTTCCAGCCTAGATTTCACTGGCCAGTTTAGCTTCTGAAACTTGTGTTTCTCTCAGGGCAAATGTGCTCTCCACAGCACAGACATGGCTGCTTCTTTGTTCACAGGCTTGCCAGTCCTTTTTCAAAGTTCCTTAGATGACTCTGAATGCTTTGGGAGTGGTGAGTTCTCGTGTTCCCTGCAAGGCTGGCCTCTGCTCTCCCCCAACCTGACTCCCTACTCCTTCCAGTGGGGGCACAATCAGGGATGACTTTCTGTTCACAATCTAATGTGCTCCCTGAGACATTCTGATACAAAGTCCCCGTTTCTGCCACCTAAGGAACCCTGTAAGGTGTCCCCCCACCATGTCCTCACATCATTCAGATCCTTCTTAACTGTGACCTGGACTATTTACTAAGTACTGCCTTATGATCTCTGTCTGGTTTCTGACTCTTGAGCAACATGGGAGGGTGAAGCAAAATTACAAATGTGCTTAAAACCTGCCACTGGTTTCTCTGGCAAGAATCCCAGTTCCTTCTTTAGTGAAGCCTGGACAATGCCACCTTTTCCTCATGCAGCAGCCTCATCACTTGACACTTTTCAACTGGAAACCAAAGCTCTGTGGACTGAGTTCAAGGGCCTGTGGCTTTCTGAGAGACTGTTCCTCTCATGCATAGCCAAGACTCTGAAAATGCCCATCTCAGCCTGAATAACTTTCCTAACTTTGCCTAGTAAACCAATTTTCTGAGATCTTTCCAGTCAGTGAACACCAATCACCTCACTGGTGTTACCATAGTAACCTACATGTACCTCCATCACATTATGTAGTAACCATATATACTTACTATCCTGCAATTTCCATCAATAAAAAGCAATTTGAGACCTAGAGGTGTGCCTGCTTGTATATGAATATTTTAATCTCTGTACCCCAATACCTAGGGTCAAGCCTGACTTGTGGTGTATAATTTTTCACATCTAAAGCGCCTTAGACTTATTAAAAAGCCATTAGTCTCACTATTCTACAATTTCTCCAACTTACTGTTCCAACTGTCATATTCCATATTAAAGGAGTTAATGAAACAATACTCCTTGGAATGAATGTTCAAAATCTTATTAATCCCTTTTAATTCCCTCAACACTTATTTACCATGTGCTAGAAACCTTGCTATTCAATGAAGATAGCAGATTAAAAAAAAAAAGACCAGGGGAAAGACATTTTACAGATGACTTTCAAAGTACCATGGTAAGGGAACAACAGGACACCACAGACAGATGGGCTGGATATGCCTCTATCTGTCAGGACACTGAGGATCCCTGCGGCTAAGATGGCGTGCAGCATGTGGAGCAGTGCCGCCTACTGCAGAAGGGACCTGCCCAAGCCAAGGTCCCACAACTGCGGCAACGGAAGTCGGAAGTCCTCGTTAGCAGCTGATTCAGTATGCTCCGGGGTAGGAGGGACATCTGGAGATGGGTTACACACAGCCCCTCAGGGCGCCTGGGGAAAGTTCACTGCAGACCTGCAGTCCTCAATGTCTGTGTCACTGATGCCATGGCAACAGACACTGTTTGAGGACACAATGGTTTTCCTTCCTCCTGAACTTGCTATGTTCTGATATGTTGTGAAGTCTTTTCAACCTGAAGTATTTTGGAGGTTTTCCACTGTTATAACAATCTCACTTTTTTTTTTCTTTTCTCACTTCTGCTATGTGGACAGAATGTGAAATGTGAAAGGCAGTACTCAGAAATACTATTGTTCCTTTTATTCAGGTTATTTTCCTTCTACCTATATAACTTCATTTTCTGCTTCTTTGTGTATTAATTATACAGTGGTCCTAAAGAAAAAGCAAGCATACACCAGTTAACTGATTATAGAATGAAACAAAAACAATTATAGCTTTGATATAAAAATGTTTAAACTAAAATATTTTATTAAGAAAAATCTGTCTGGATGCCTTTACACTACTAATCCCACTTAGAGACATAAATTATGATACCCATTGAAGAACAACTAAAATTAGTGAAATTTGTACTATAATTTTGCTAACTCCTTAAAAAATAAAAAGCAAGTTCTAACATAATTTGTAAATACCATTATTTACATACAGATTAGCAAGTAAGAACTATTTAAAAAATTAAATGTTTTTATTATAAAAGAAATATACAATTAGAAGAAATAGAAAAAGAAACATTTTTAGAAATTTTTACTAAAATCAAACCTTACAGAAATGAATCTTCTAACAATAAAGCTTCCTAAATTCAAACTTATTTCTTTGGAAACAGGCCCCAGTTACTGGTAAGGTTTGAAGGCAAAGTCTCTGCCTTGGTCCACCCTCCAAAGAAAAAGGAAAAGCAAATAAGGGGGAACCCTCGGAATAAGCAGCAAGCAGAGGAAAGAAGATGGAAGGATGTACAGGATCTATCTGCGAGCTACAGAAAGGACTTAACTAGATGCCAAAGTAAGAGCCAGTAGAGCCGTTTGTCTTCATTCAGTCAAATATTTCCCAGCCTCACGCACAGCCATGAGACACAAGTGCACACACAAGTGCGCACACTTACGTCCACAGCAGTAGCTCCTCCAATTTTAACCACTGGGAAGAATGTTAAGTCTTCTATCACTGCAATTAAAAACAGGTCAGCCCTTCACTTTGCCTCACCTGAACTGAACTTAGGAAATCATGACTATAATGAAACATCAGTATCATTTGGATCAGAGTTGACTACTATGACGTGATTAGCCCAAGCCCGCAGAGCAATGCCCTTACCTGAACATTGTCATAGAAGAGAACATCAGGCACTTTCATCTTCTCATGGGAATTGTGGACTGGTGCACTGACAGTGCCAATCCTCAGAGACCCGGCTACCACTTCACCTGAACAATTCATACAGGACAGAGGATGAGTCCCAGCAATGTCTTGCAAATATCCAGGGAAGCATAGTCTGGCTGGCAAGCAATGCAAGGCAGCTCCTGTAACCTGTGAGAGGTCTTCAGGATTTTAATTAAACATCTCAAGAATAAACCAAAACAACCTACCTCACCAACTTATACTGGAGACCCAGTATAAGCACACAAACGAAAAGAACAAGAGTGTGACAGTGAACCAACATCTATACCATCTGCTGAGATAGCACATACAATGGCAGGTCAAACAACACCCGTCAGGGTTCAGTTTACAGAACACAGCCATTCAGTGGATAGAGGCCTTTAAGATCAATTTGTTCACACAATCAATGTTTAGTGATAACATTTCAACTACAAAGGGGACTCCCTGGGAGAAAACAGGCTAGGACTTTTTCAAGAAGTCCTATAGGGTTCTACTGTTTGTGTCTATCTGCCAAGGCTGTTAGCCTTATAGGCTCAAAGCCTGGTTTTGCCATCACAATCTAGTGCAAAAATAATTTCACGAGAACATTAAACATAGATTCTGATAAAAAGCCAGAATTGAAGACTATGGCATTGACGTATAGAGGCTGCTTTCTTATGACCATGCTACCCCGATTGCCATCACATGTTACTTAGAGTGAGACCTGCATGGAGAGCCAAGCCCTCGTGAGATGATCCTTCAGCAGGCCTCCACTCTTGACAAGGAGAGGAAATTAAATGCACTCTCCACAAGACTGGTAGCTTTTAAGATGAATGAAACCAGCCCAGTGAACAATCTCTTCATTTAGGTCCCTTATCCCCTACAGGAAGCTTCTGGCGCTGACCTTTCCCAGCCTGAGCAATCTACCATCCTGAGGATACTGCCTTTCTTGGAAATGTTACCAGCTCCAGTCACATGACATAAGACTCTACACATCCCAGGGTGATTATGTCCTTCTGCGAGGGGCCTCTGCACATCTGCTCAGACTCATCAATATCAAATTTATAGTTTTATTTTTAAAAAGTCATTCAATTTGTTTAATACTAAATTTTTGGTTCAGCAAAATGCCAGTCACAAAAACAGCCATTCCAGTCCTACTGGAGAAGAGTCACACGCTGGTGCTTAGAAAGACAAGTACTTAGAGTAAAGATGGAAAAGTTCCCTGTGCTCTGAGCGAAGACCAGGCAACTCAGTCTTTCCAGCAGACACTTCTGGCTGTGCAGAAGAGCTGGCACTGTGGGTGACTAGAGGGACTGGAGGGAGAGGGCATGAAGCCTACTCTCATTATAGTCTATGTCACTCTAGAAAACATCTCTGACATGCCCCAGAGGAAATCTGGTAGCCCTCAAAATGCAAATGTTGTATAACTTCTAGTCTATATGGTGAAACACATTTGGAAAAAAGCATATCCTTGTCAAAATCAGACAAGCTAATGTACAATAAAATCTCTCAAAACCTTAGTAACAGACTGACGCTTGGTGTACACGCAAGGTGGGGGCCAGGGGTTCTCTAACAGTCACTGAAAGAAGTGCCAGCAAAAGCGGAGTTGTAAAATGGCTTCCAGACTGGTGTGTGTTTGTTTGGCTGGCTTTGGGTTTTGGTTCCTGGAGACAGGGTTTCTCTGTGTAACAGCCCTGGCTGTCTTGAAACTCACTTTGGAGACCAGGCTGGGTTTGGACTCACATGCATCACCATGCCTGGCCCCAGACTGTTTTTTGAAGAAAGGAATAGATTCTCTTGTTCAGTATAATACATAAAACAAAATGGGTTTTATTGAAACTAAAAGTAGAAAACGTTTAATCATTGTTATGTCACCTAAAAATAGCCAAATCAAGTACTTACACTTGTAATTCTCCAGTTCTGGTTCCAGGCAACCATCAGTCTTTATTTCTATTGACGCATCTGCCAGATTCTTCTCCAGCGCTGACTGGGCAAGGCTTGGTAAGAATCTAGTAAGAGGAACAGAGGGGCAGGGTGATTAACTCAATTCTTCGGTTCTTAAGTATCTTTTAACATATATTCCTTCACTAATTACAGCCAAAAAGAGAAACCGTGTGAATAAACATGAATTTGTAAAGTCTCTGTTTGTGTAATCTTTAATAACTAAGCTTATATGTAATTAGCAATATTCATCTATGTATATTTTTCAGATTACGATAAAATCTTTTGCTTTCATAAGTAGATTTAGCATACCTCATATTTCATGCTTATTGTGTAATTGGTGCTTCAAACTTTTCTTAAGTAGATAAAACAGCAACATTCTAACCTGCTCTAAGTTGGCAATTACAAATTTAAATCAGAAGTGGGTTAATGAGGTTTTCCTTACTTTTTAAACATAAATTATGTCTTATCAGTTGAGCATGCCATCACAGTTCTTAGATTACTGCTTTTCTGGTCAAAACCAAAGTCCCAGCTTATCTCCCAAAGCCCTACTACGTTTGGGTACTGTTTCTTCTTCTTTTTTTTTGTTGTTGCTGTTTGTTTGTTTGTTTGTTCGTTTTTTCGAGACAAAGGTTCTCTATGTAGTCTTGGATGTCCTGGACTTGTTTTGTAGACAAGGCCAGCCTCAAACTCAGAGATGCACGTGCCTCTGCCTCCCTGGTGCTGGGATTAAAGGTGTGCCACCATGCCTGTCCTGTTTCTTAAGCTTTTGTCCTAGCGTCATGTCCAACCTCCTCTCACAGTTGCCCAGAGTCTAGGAATATTTATGCTACTTCTGCTAGATCACCTGGATTGATAAGGACTTGTTTTGAGTTGTCTGCTATTCTCAGCAGCCCTGATATCCACATTGTCTACTAACACATCCCAGGGTGGCCCTATATGACTTCTGGTCTTCTGTCTAAAGCCTAGAGGATAGGGGACAAAGGAGGAGAGATATTAATACTAGGTTTGAAAGATGAGGAAGTATACAGTAATAGCAGCAGTGGGAGGGCTGAGGCAGAAAGGCAGCAGTTAAGGCTAGTCAGTGCTTCAAAGGGAAACACTGCTGAAAGCCCAAGAGAGCACACCTTAGTGGTACAGCGCATATTGAGGAATCTTTATTTACAATGTGTAAGGAGTTAATTTGTACTTGTGATTAGAATTCTTAAATTTACAAACAGTGTCAGAAGACTTAAGATAGTAAGGCCTGTCTGATAAATGTAGTTTGTAATATGTGGCTATTTATTATATGTAAAATTTACTAATATGGGTTCAAAGCTTGAAGGTATTTACTTTAGGCAGTTCTACAAACAGAACTTGGTATTTTTTCCCAAAAGTCTTTAGATGCAATTATTAAGATCCAGTAGGCTTACAGTTAATGACTGTAACTAAGAGAGAAGCCTAAGGAAGTCTCAATATTTTTAATCACAGCCTTAAAAAATGGAATCAGTCTTTAAGACCAAACTGTTTCTAGAGAGTCAGTCTCTGGAAGCAAAATGTTCCTGGGGACAATAAAAATTCCATGCTGATGATTGTGAAATGCTGGGCATAATTAATTATCAGGCTATGGTTTTTAAAATTAACTATACAAAAGTTTACAAAGTAAAAATCTCATATGTATAGTATTAATTTTATATCACTAAAAATTTTAAATATATGTATAACTCAGTTTTTGGTGACTAGAATAATTTCCTCATTACTCTACTTTCTGAGACAGTTAATCTTCATTTCTGATTGGATTCCTATAGCTCTGTCCAAATTTTACCAGTAAAGGATAATTTCCTCCAAAATTATTCAGAAGTGCTTGAGTCAAAGTAGTAGAAAATAACAGAATGGACTAGAACTCTTACAGGCCTTCAGTCATATAAAAGAGGACTCTTAGAATTCAAACTGAGTATGTCCCAAGCCTCTATATCATTGCTCCAGCCCTGTAGTTTTGATTATCTAGACACCGGATGATGCAGCCCTTGGGGCTGTATGCAGAGCAGAGGGTGAAGGGCTACTCAGTATTTCAGAGGGGGAGCATGAACAGAAGACAGCCCAGCACTGAATTGGCTTCTCCTGATTTCATCTGCTTAATGAAAGATATCATGGGAATCTTATGAAGCTTTTCATTTTTGTCTTAAAGTCCCAGTGAAATTCAGTTCCTTCAGTGCTTCAATATGAAAAGAGGTTATTAAAAAGAAAAAAAAAACCACTTCATGCACCAATAATCTTTTTGGTTCCTGGCTGCCTCTGTGTCTCCCTGAGGCTGGCAGGAGGGCTCCACTGTAGCTTTGCTAAGGGCAACAGATGGTGCATGAAAAAGACAGCTGCTTGAGTGTTCACTTCCACTTCCAAAGGACCCCAAGGCGATAAGAAAACAGACCTCTACTGTGGTCCTCCAATAACACTGGAAAATTAGTTATCTCATGCTATGATCTATTTAAGAGAGTAAAAAACAAGCATTTAAAAACAGTAGAGGACAATGCAGCCACTTTTGATGAGAACTGATAGACTAAGATCAGAAAGGAGAGGAGAACCTCCCCTATCAGTGGACTTGGGGAGTGGCATGCATGCAGAAACGGGAGGGAGGGTGGGATCGGGAGGGGAGGAGGGAGGGGATTATGGGGGGATACAAAATGAATAAAGTGTAATTAAAAAAAACAAAAACAAACAAAAAAACGTGTTAATTAACCCTTTGTTGGTGTGTCCATCCTTTTCCACATTAATAAAGACACTTGTCACAGACACAGAAAGCTGCACAGAGCCTTCTATAGTTTCAGTCTCCTTGCAATATGGTGGTTATGAGGAATGAAGCTACACAACAGACACTATCTGATTACATACACTTTTCTCAGATTTTCTGGGGCTATCTTTGGAACTTTCTATTTCCATGGCAACCTGAGAATCACTTGTCAGATTCACTATTACCTTGTGGGATTCTGACTACACACATGTAGACTGTTGGGAGGGAATTTTTATAACAAGAAATCTCTTCTTCTATACAGCCGTAGGGCAGCTTCCCTCTGACAACCATCAATAGATCGATTCTCTTCTCCACAGACTGATAGCATGTCTTTTGAGTCACAGCTGGGAGAGTACAAGAACGTCATCGATCTGTGCACATCAGAACTTCATTAGACTCCCTTTGTTCTAGTAATTTTCATGATTGTCTCTTGAATACGTTTACTGTGACTGAGCATGTAATCTTGGGCAGATGCACTGGATAAAAGTGTGGAAGATGCTATATTCAATTTCCCCTAATGCTAAAGGAAATATGCCAAGTATTTTATTGTGAAAAATGTTTGCTGTAAATTTAAAGTCAGCAGTCTTAACCATGTTGAAGAACTTTGTTTTTATCCATGGTTTAATAAGAGTATTTTAGGCTTACTAAGAGTGTGGTTATGGTTGGGAAACTAGGTTTCACCAAATCCTTTTTCTCACTTATACCACAGTAATTTAAAAATAGAATACCTAATTCTTCTGGAGTTTACTGTTGCTGTTCTCAAGTAGTCAGTCTAATCCTTGTTTCCTTGTCGGTTTTTCCTTTTGAAATGTTTAGGACTGTCCTCATTGCTGTGTAGTATTGTCACACCACAGGAAACTGCTTTAATTTGTCCCATTTGGGAACTGACACATTTCAACCTATAAACACGTATTTCACAGTTCTAGAACACTCTTAGCTAAAATCTGATGGAATAATTCCTGCCTCTTATTCTATCAGAAGTCTGGGGTATAGGTTAGCAAGCAAGGGCCTTGGATTCAACTGCTAGCAAACCCCACAGCAGGTCCATTAGGTAGATTTCAGTCTTTCTCATGCTATCTTTTGTTTACAACAGCCCTTCATATCTGCAGTCTCTTCAACCTGCTGTGCTAGCTTCCATCCACTTAGATGCTTCTAAACTCTATCAATACTGTTTATTAGCCCAGTAGGAATCTTTCAGTTCAAATTTTTTATTTACAATTTGTTGTTTAGTTTTTCTTTCAAATCTACCAACTCCAGGTGTCCTTTATGGTAGCTTTAAACTTCCCTAATTTTTACACTATCTGAAGTAAGTCCACTGGGAAATTTCAAATGTTCTACTTTGGGTTTCTGAATTCTGTTTCTGAAAGTCCTATCTTCATATTTGTTTCTCAATTACAGTTTAATTAAAACATTATTGTGTCTAAGTGTTTTGCCTGCTTATATGTCTGTTTACTCCTTATGTGACCAATGCCCACAGAGACCAGAATACAGTAATGGATCCCTTGGAACTAGACTTATAGATGGCTGTGAGCTACCTACACGTGGATCCTGGGAATGCAACACAGATCCTCAGCAAAAGCAACTAGTGCTCTTAATTGCTGAGCCATCTCTTCAGCCCCTAGTTTATCATTTTTAATTGTGATCTTATATTCAGATTGTTTAGTACCTTGGATAGTAAAAGTATTGCTGTATACTGAGTTTAGGGTTGCTAGGCTATATACGCCTACAGGTAATTGAAAACTCTGAGTGAGTTAACTTAAAATAGCATCCTGTGGTTACCACCCTCACAGGCGGTGTCACCACAGACCTCATACTTGCATCATGCAACACATGGTGCTACATTTCCTACAGAAGACTTTCTTTCCCACACAGAGCTCCAAAGAGATGGCAAGCTTTCTCATCATTCTCTGGTCACATGAGCAAAACTACTTCAGTCAAAAAGGGCAGCAAACATGTCTACTTTATTCTTTACACCAGGGGCCCTGCTGAAGGTACTCTATCTCACATGGATCCAGACCCGTGGATCTGCTTAAGCAGGTATTAAAATCTAGCACTAGGCCCTATCCCATTTAAAAGTCCTCTTGGCAGCTACAATAACAGCCGTTTCTTATTCTGCTTTTACTTTCTTTGATTTTATTTTAATAGATGATCTATTGATGTAAAATTTCCACCTACACAATTTGCCTAAAGTGTATGATTCAATCGTTTTAATTATGTTCACAGTTATGCAACCATTGTCTCAAACAATTTTAGAACATTTTGCTTACTCAAAGGCAAATCCATAGGCACTCTATTTCCCAGTACCCTGAGCTTTGGAAAACCATCAGAATATTTTGCCCTACTCTAGACAGCTCATGTTTTCAATGTATTTTTAGTTTATCTGTGTTACTGCAGAATCATATCTCAAATACCTCACATTTAATTCATTTATTTAATAGTTGATGGACATTTGGGTTAATTTAATTTTTATCTTTCCACATTCTCACTACTTGAATCTGCTTTATATTTATTCTCCTGACTTAGATCCTTCATTTCTTCAATTAATTTTTATTTCTTGATACACAATTACTTTCTTAAACAAAAATCTGAAAGTTGGCTTAACAGTCAACATCTGTCTTACAGGTTGTAGTGATTATTTTCCTCTAACACATCCACTGTGTTATTTTTCCTGGTTTTCTAAACTGCCTACTTTCCTTAACACTGTATATTCGCATCTTTGCTTTCAAATCCTGCCCAACACAAAATATGCTAAAAGTAACAAAGATGACTGTCTGTACTTTCTGCAACTTATGACTTTAAAATATGCAGTTGAGGCTTTTTTTCTTCAAAGTTATTTAGAAGTCTAATATTATTCTGTTTAAAACACAAAAACAGTATCTCTTATAACTGAGTTATTCAAGGAATTATAATGCAGACAGAATCTTAGCTTAGTTGGATGCACTACAGAAAGAGAAAATTCAAGCCAAAGCACAAAGCATTTACAAAAAAAAGTTGCCTAGTACACTGAAGAATTACAAAGGATAATTACAAATTTTCCTAAGCCAGGTCAGAGTCTCCTTTAATTCTTATCAAGGAACAAATGAACAAAAAGCATAACTAATATCATTAAAAATAATTTTATCAAGAATCTAAAATATGAAAATATTAAAGTATATAAAATAATCTAAGAAAAAATTCTCTATGCCTATTGGGAACTATTAATCTTTTGTCATTAATCTTTGAATTTTTTAGGGAATATATTCTTTTTAAAATTTTATTCATTTTATGTGTTTGGATGTCTTTGTCTGTGTACCACATGTGTGCATTGTGTCCAAGGAAGCCAGAAAAGAACACTAGATCTCCTGGGGCTGGAGTTACACATAGCTGTGAGCAGTCATGTGGATGCTGGGAATTGAAGCTGAGTCCTCTGTAAGAACATTTAGTGCTCGTAACTGCTGAGCTATCTTTCCAGCACTTATTAATCTTTTAAAATAATTTCAGCCAAACATGATTTTATATGAAAATTCTGCAAACTGATGTTTTATAATCACTTCCCAACTTGTATGTAAACTATTAGTATACACTGAAAAGATGTTAGTTTTATAAAATTAGCTATAAGATCAGATCAAGACAAAAAGTTCCAGAAGAAATTAGAGAAGTAGCAACCACAATGCTTAGAGAACTTAGCTCAGAAGACCCATGAATGAGCATGCAAATACCAAACACAGCATTTACTACTGGGTGACCCAAGTAAGTGACTATAACAGTTTTCTCATTTATAAAATACTTGGGAAATATGTTTAATTCATTCTTATTTTATGTTTTGGTACTAATGACTGAACTCAGGAAATTGTCTATCACTAAGCCATACCAAAATTCTTTTGTAAGATGAACATGGTGGCGTACACCTTTAATCCCAGCACTCGGGGAGGCAGAGGCAGGCGGATCTCTGTGAGTTCGAGAACAGCCTGGTCTACAAAGTATGTCCAGGACAGCCAAGGCTACAAAGAGAGTCCCAGTCTCAATAATAATAATAATAATAATAATAATAATAATAATAATAATAATAATAATAA